GAACCCATTATGAACTTCAAATACCAAATTTTACACAAATCTATTAGAACATGTCGTTTAAATCGTCAAAATACCGAATATCCGAAGGTACTGTTATATGTGCGCTATAGGAAAACGTAGACCTAGATATGCAATGTTCCTCCACCGGTGCCAGAAACCATTATGAACTACGAACACCAATTGTTAGACAAATCCGTCGAAAAATGTGGCAAAACTCATACCGAATATCGGAGGTACAGTTATGTGGCGGCTATACAAAGGCGTGGACCGATATATCTTATTTTCAATACCAACCATCCTAGACACAATACAACTATATCTGCAAAATTTTGAAGCTCTGCCTATATAGTGATAATATGGCCTATATAGTGATTTCAACAAACAGAGAGACGAACGTCGTTAAATCGACAAAGAATTTTATATTGATTATGAATATATGAAGGATATTTCTTTTTTTTTACACTTTTTGCGTAAAATGAAATTTAATGTTACCTTTGATATCAGCTCAAAAAGGCCGAGCTGATCACAAAAATTAGAAAATGTTTTCTAGTTCTTTTTGGGAACATTGATGTACTTTCTTTCGATATATGTTTAATAGAAACAGAGACTTCTACAGGGTGAGATAAAAAAAACTGCAACAAAGTCAAATGCCATAATTTTTACATTTTTTTTTTAATTTTACTGAATGAGAGCAAAATAGGTCGGAAATAGTATCAAATTTTAGAATAAGTTTAGATTTGTTCGAATTGGTCACCTTTGGCACGAATTATGGTCTTCAAACGGCAAATGAAACCGTCACACGCTGTCCGAATGTTGCTCTGCGGAATTTTGGCCCATTACCTTTGGTTTGAGGTGATCAACACTTTGGTATTTTTTAGTGCTAATCTTGCTTCCCAGAATTCTTCAAACACAATAGTTTAACGGATTAGTATCCGGATATTTTGGTGGCCATTGTGCGCTGGAAATGAAGCGAGGAGCCTCATTTTGTGACCATTCTTGAGTGGCGCGTGCGATGGTGCTGAGTCCTGTTGGAATGTTCAAGGTCTGCCATTTAGCGATACTCGGACCGGTATATTTATTGCTCCAATAATTTTTATACCCTACACCACAAGGTGGTCAGGGTATTATGTCTTTGTGCATATGTTTGTAACAGGCAAAAGGAAACGAGATAGACCCATAGTTCCTTTTGAAGATCAGCATAGAATCACATTCTGAGTCGATTTATCCATGTCCGTCCGCCTGTCCATGTATATTTGTAAACAAAGTACAGTTCGCATTTTTTGCCCTATCCAGATGAAATTTTGCACAAATCATTTGTTTGGCCCAAGGACGAACCCTGTTGAAATTGGAGATAATCGATTAAAATTTATATATAGCTCCCATACATATCTTCGTCCGATTTGCCTTTTATTGTGCACCAAACGTGTAATATCAGTCTGAATAGTACGAAATTTTGCACGTACGATCAGACTGAAAATAAGATCAGAAAATAAGTATGCTAAATTTGATCGAAATCGGTTCAGATATAGCAGTAGCTCCCATATATATTGTTCATCCGATTTGTTATTTTTGTCCTCCCCAGCCATAATATGCACTCTACAACAACAATATTTGGGGAAATATATCAAATACAGCTCAGAAATACATTTGCTAAATTTTATCAAGATCGGTTCAGATTTGGATATAGCTTCCATATATAACTTCGTCCGATTTACCTTTGATTGTGCACCAAACGTCTAATATTTGCTCAAATGGGATGAAATTTGGCACTTACGACCGAATTGAGTCTAGAAGCTAGTATGTCAAATTTGGTGAAGATCGGTTCAGATATAGATATAGCTCCTATATATATTGTTCATCCGATTTGTTATATTTGTTACCCACAGCCGTAATATGCACTCCGTAACAACGATATTCAGGTAAATATATGAAATACAGCTCAGAAATATCTTTGCCAAATTTTATCGAGATCGGTTCCGATTTCGATATAGCTCCCATATATATTTTTATCCGATTTCAAATTAATTGTGCACCAAATGGGCAATACAAGTCCGAATTTAAAAGGTACAAATGCTTCAGCATATTTAGTCCTTTGAACTTTAAATTACAATTATAATCATAGCGTGTATGACTTTTAATTGTTATGCGGAGCTCTACTAAATTAGCTAAGTGGTAAAGGGTATCATAAAGCCGGCCCCGCCCGACTTTAACACTTTCTTTACTGGTTTTTAATATAATCTTTATCGAAGTCATATCATGCACTATACAGCAATGTTATTTGGTACTATAGGTACAAAAGCCTCCGTCAAATTTGTTGAAAATCGAACTAGGACCCATCATGACCTACAAGTACCAATTTTCAGACAAATTCGTGAAAGAATGTGGTAAAAATCATCGAAATACCGAATATCGGTCATATGGGACTACATCAAAACTTGGACCGATATATCTCATTTTCAATACCAACAATCCTAGACACAATACAAATTATGGCCTTTAAACGGCCAATGAAACCGTCACAAGCTGCCCGGGTGTTGCTCTGCGGTATTTTGACCCATTCCCGGCGAAGCGCTTGCTTGAGGTGATCGACACTTTGGTATATTTTAGTGCCAATCTTGTTTTCCAAAATACGCCAGACAAAATAATCCAACGGATTGGTACCCGGAGATTTTGGTAGCCATTGTGCGCTGGAAATGTGCACTGGAAATGAAGCGAGGAACCTCATTTTGTAACCATTCCTAGGTGGCGCGTGCTGAGTTCGATGGTGCTGAGTCCTATCTGAATGTGCAAGGTCTGCGGCCAAAATGTTTGCGTGCCCAAGGCTTTAATTCCCCCTTTGCAATATTTTCGCGATAATATTCGGCATTTATGGCAACCATCGGCTGTTATGGCGGCCCACACCATGGCCGACGCTTGAGTTCCGGTGGGCAACTGAAGGTGCAAATTTTCAGCTGACCTCTCTCGCAGCAACTCTTTAGCTCTTTTGATTCTATTTTCTTTCTGTTGCGGTGTAAGTTCTTGAATTTTTTGGAATTTCAATGACTTTACCCCGAGCTCATTTTTCAATATTTGCGAATGGAATATTGTGATATGTTCAGCTCACGAGCCATTTTTCGGCCACTGTGACGCGGGTTTCGATCAAGTCGCTTCTTCACATTTCGAACCATTTCTGCTGAAGTTTCTGTTTTTTTCCGTCCACTTCCTTCACGTCGGGCTACACTACCAGTATCCCGGTAACGAGCAATGGTACGAGACACAAAAAATGTATTCACATTTAAATGCTTGATTGCTCTAACGATAGCCACTTGTGGGTTTCCCGCCAAATATAAAGAAATCATACTATCACTCTTGAATTCCATCACGAATAACTTTTTTTCTGCAAAATTCTCAGCAAAATGCTTTTGTACCCTTGTAAACAATATAATGAGCTGTCACTGGAATACTTTTAACAGCTGTCGGACGAGTGGCTTAGAAATGACAGCAGTCTGAAGTTGGTTGCAGGTTTTTCATCCCACCCTGTATATATTCTTAATCAGAGTTAAATTCTAAGTCGATTTAGCCCTGTCCATCCTTCCGTCTGCCCGTCTGTTTTAATTACGCTAGAGTCAAAACGGCATGTGATAGGAACTTAAGTTGCCTTTTGTAGTCAGCCATATCGGTCAACATATTCGTACGGCTCCATATATATATGTACCTCCGGATATTCAATATTGTGACAATTTTTAACCACATTTTCTGACTGAATAGTTTAAAATTCTGTATTTAGGTTCTACCCCATGTGCCACAATATTATCTATATAGGTCCACATATAGACCTCATATAAAAGTACCCGCAATATTCGATATTTTAACGAGTTTAGCCTTTATAGGTTTAGCCTTATAGGTTCACGTTTTCCTATGCTCCGCATATAAAGATACTTCCGTATTTGGACGATTTAAACCACATTTGCTAAAGGAATTACTAAAAATTCCTAAGTGGTTCTCCTGCTTATATAGAACAATATTTATATATGCCAACATTTATGTATATCCCCTATTTTCCCGATAGCAGATATTTTGGGGATTGTAGCCATATTTTTTACAGAATTGTTTGAAATTTGAATTGGATGTTCCTAATAACAGAAGTGACGCATACCCCCTCCACCATATATAGAGGATATGTTAAGTTCGTCATTCCGTTTGTAACTCATCAAAATAATAACTGTAGACCCAACAAATTATATATATTCTTGATCAGCGTATAATTCTAAGACGATTTATACCTGTCAGTCCGTTCATCTGTTGTAATCACGCTAGTGTCAAAACAAATTAAGATAAGCAGCCAATATTTTGAACAGATCAGTTCGAAGATAGGTTATATAACGCTGTCCTGATATTCGGTATTTTGACGATTGTAGCCCATTTATCAATGGAATTGTCTGAATTCAAGGAATTCCTTCTGAATACTTTACCCCCTGGATTAGTATTGTCTATATAAGTCCACGATATCGTATATCCCTCCTATAACGGTAACTCTCTACATTCGGTATTTTGATTATTTTTCCAATGAAATTATCTGAAAATCTGCGCAAGAAGTTCTTTCTATGTACTTTATACCCAGGAAGTGAATTGTCGATATGAGTCCTCGATATCGTATAGCCGGTACCCCCCGGTATTCGGTATTTTCATGATTTTAAGGACATTATTCAGCCGTCGGCCCGGCCGAACTTACAGCTTTTATACTTGTTTGTTATTTTTAACACATTTTATTTTTTTATAAACATTTTATTTTTTACCACATTTGGGGTTAGAAACCAAAGGTACCAAAAAAATATTTTCAGCGCCACAGAGGGTTTGAGAAATCAATTTTTATATCGAATGATTTGATTTAGATGATTATTATATTATTCTTCACTACGACAACATTCCTGCATTATCTGACATCCCACTTGTATATGAAAAAATTACAACAGCAAAATTAATAATTTTAATTGATTTTTTTAATGTACATTTACTTAACAATTTATTACAAAATACACATTTTAAGGAATCTCAATAAGAATAGGAACAGGAAGCAAAATGAAACCTTAAAAACTACATTCTAATTATATGAAAAAATTATTAATAATTTTTTCTTTTTCGTTTTAAATAAATAAATATTTTTTATTATTAAAAATAATGTAATTGTAAGTTATTTAAATATGTAGTATTAACTTAATCATAATAATAAATAAAATAAAAAATATATGAAAACTTAGACAAAAAACTTAAAATAAATAATAGAAAAACCAAAAAAAAAATACAGAAAAAAATAATGAACAAAAAAAAGAATAATTATAAAACAGAAGAAAAAAAGTTAATTAAATAAATGTCTTAACTATTAATCTACAACAAAAAAGTGATGACGAGCACAAATGCAGTTTTATTTGGAACAAATTCTTTTTAATACTTTTAAATGGTATTTTGGTTAATCTCGAAAAACACCTTTTAGTTGGGAGCTGGTCACCTTGCCGCCATGGAGATAAGAATCTACATGATTTTCATTATTAAGACTATATTTCCTTTCCTGAAGAAATTCCAGAAATCTGTACTATTTTTAGGACAAAGGGGGACCAATTTTAATAATGGTGTAAGGACACAACTAACAACAGCTATGTCAGCTACCTCTCCAAAACTCTCAATGCATTCATATTTCTGCTCCATTCTTATTTCGTTCACTCGCTCGTTCGCTCTCTCTCTCTCTCTCTCTCTCGCCCTCTCTTTACAATATGGTATCATAACGTTTAATCTCCTTCATAATGAATGGTATAAATTTCTCAATACGTATATATTCGATACTTGTATTGATTTGTTGACTTCCAAAACTTGAACCTTCCATCCGGGATATCAGAAATTCCAAATATTCTCTCGAAGTATCTCGTATTACACCCCGCCCCACATTCAAATGTGGTTCGCTAAGCAGTAGTGGATGATTTTCAAGACTTGGTAGGCATACAGGTTTCACACGAGAGGAGAAAAGGAAATAATCTTCCACTACCAATATGGCAATTTGGTCAGTTGGCGGTATCGATGGATATGTGGTCCTGAAAAAGAGAGATAAAAGAAATCGGTTAAAAATATAAAAGGGTAGTGAAATAACTGAGTGACTGACTGGCTAACCAAGAATCAAAGCTCAGACAAAACGGCTGAAGCTAGAATCTTTGCACGAGGATCTTGGTGCGAGTGATAAGGTAGGATTTTTGGAAATTCGGACTAAAAGGGTAGGAAAAGTGCTAAAATATACTAAAAATTGAAAACTTTTTATTGGACATACGGAATGAACTAGAATTCTAAAATTTGGAATGAGAATCACTGATGGAGTGCAGTTTTTTTGGAAATACGAACTTTAAGTTAAGTTCTAAAATGGTGATAAACTTTTAAAGTGGTATAGTTTGAGATGAGAATCAAGGTTGGAAAGTTATTTTTATATATTAAAGTGGTTTTGGAAATGTGCACGAAAAGTAACAAATAGTGGGACAAGTTCCCCCTCTCCCAAAATATTCCTAGTATTATTATCAGTTTTTGCAGTTTTTTTTAAGTCTTCGTAAAGGCCAGAATATGGATTTCTTAACGAATTTTTAGTTTTTTTTAGAGCCTCCATAAAGTCCAGAAAACGTGGACTTTTTAAAGAATTTTTAGATTCTCTATAAAGGACAGAAAACGTGAATTTTTTAAAGAATTTTTAAAACCTCAATAAAGGCCAGAAATCGTGGATTTTTTAAAGATTTTTTAAAGCCTCCCCAAGGTCCAGAAAACGTGGATTTTTAAAAGAAATGTTAAAGCCTCAATAAATGCCAGAAAACGTGGATTTTTTTAAAGAAATTTTAAAGCCCCCACAAAGGCCAGAAAATGTGGATTTTTTAAAGAAATTTTAAAGCCTCCATAAAGACCAGAAAACGTGGATTTTTTAAAGAATTTTAGAGCCTCCATAAAAAACCAAAAAATTTGGATTTTTTAGAAGAATTTTTAAAGCCTCAATAAAGGCCAGAAAACGTTGTTTTTTTTTTTAAATTTTTAGAGCCTCCATAAAGGCCATATAACGGGGATTTTTTAAAGAAATTTTAGAGCCTCCACAAAGGCCAGAAAACGTGGATTTTTTAAAGAATTTTTAGAGCCTCCATAAAGTCCAAAAAACGTGGATTTTTTAAAGAATTGTTAAAGCCTCCATAAAGACCAGAAAACATGGATATTTTAAAGAATTTATAGAGCCTCCATAAAGGACGGAAACTTGGATTTTTTAAAGAATTTTTAGAGCCTCCATAAAGGTCAGAAAAGGTGGATTTTTTAAAGAATTTTTAGAGCCTCCATAAAGGTCAGAAATGTGGATTTTTTAAAGAATTTTTAGAGCCTCCATAAAGGTCAGAAAACGTGGATTTTTTAAAGAATTTTCAGGTTCCGTAAAGGCCAGAGAACGTGGATTTTTAAAGAATTTCCAGGTTCCAAAAAGGCCAGAAAACGTGGATATTTTAAAGATTTTTTAGAGCCTCCCCAAGCTCCAGAAAACGTGGATTTTTAAAAGAAATGTTAAAGCCTCCATAAAGGCCAGAAACGTGAATTTTTTTAAAGAATTTTTAGAGCCTCCATAAAGGCCGGAAACGTGGATTTTTTAAAGAATTTTTAGAGCCTCCATAAAGGTCAGAAAACGTGGATTTTTTAAAGAATTTTTAGAGCCTCCTCAATGGCCAGAAAACGTGGATATTTTAATGAATTTTTAAAGCTTCCTCAAAGGCCAGAAAACGTGAACTTTTTAAAGAATTTTTAGAGCCTCCATAAAGGCCAGAAAACGTGGAATTTTTAAAGAATTTTTAGAGTCTCCATAAAAGCCAGAAAACATGGATTTTTTGAAGAATTTTTAGAGCCTCCATAAAGGCCAGAAAACGTAGATTTTTTAAAGAATTTTTAGAACCTCCATAAAGGCCAGAAAACGTAAATTATTTAAAGAATTTTTAGAGTCTCCATAAAGGCCAGAAAACGTAGATTATTTAAAGAATTTTTAGAGCCTCCTTAAAGGCCAGAAAACGTGGATTTTTTAAAGAATTTTTAGAACCTCCATAAAGGCCAGAAAACGTAAATTATTTAAAGAATTTTTAGAGTCTCCATAAAGGCCAGAAAACGTGGATTTTTTAAAGATTTTTTAGAGCCTCACCAAGGTTCAGAAAACGTGGATTTTTTAAAGATTTTTTAGAGCCTCACCAAGGTTCAGAAAACGTGGATTTTTAAAGATTTTTAGAGCCTCCCCAAGGTCCAGTAAACGTGGATTTTTTAAAGATTTTTTAGAGCCTCCACAAGGTCCAGAAAACGTGGATTTTTAAAAAATTTTTAAACCCTCCCTAAAGACCAGGAAACGTGGATTTTTAAAAAAATTGTTAAGCCCTCCCTAAAGACCAGAAAACGTGGATTTTTTAAAAAGTTAAACCCTCCCTAAAGACCAGAAAACGTGGATTTTTAAAAAATTGTTAAACCCTCCCTAAAGACCAGAAAACGTGGATTTTTTAAAAAGTTAAACCCTCCCTAAAGACCAGAAAACGTGGATTTTTAAAAAATTGTTAAACCCTCCCTAAAGACCAGAAAACGTGGATTTTTTAAAAAATTGTTAAACCCTCCCTAAAGACCAGAAAACGTGGATTTTTTAAAAATTTTTAAACCCTCCCTAAAGACCAGAAAACGTGGATTTTTAAAAAATTGTTAAACCCTCCCTAAAGACCAGAAAACGTGGATTTTTTAAAAAGTTAAACCCTCCCTAAAGACCAGAAAACGTGGATTTTTAAAAAATTGTTAAACCCTCCCTAAAGACCAGAAAACGTGGATTTTTTAAAAAGTTAAACCCTCCCTAAAGACCAGAAAACGTGGATTTTTAAAAAATTGTTAAACCCTCCCTAAAGACCAGAAAACGTGGATTTTTTAAAAAGTTAAACCCTCCCTAAAGACCAGAAAACGTGGATTTTTAAAAAATTGTTAAACCCTCACTAAAGACCAGAAAACTTGGTTTTTTTAAAAAAATTGTTAAACCCTCCCTAAAGACCAGAAAACGTGGATTTTTAAAAAATTGTTAAACCCTCCCTAAAGACCAGAAAACGTGGATTTTTAAAAAATTGTTAAACCCTCCCTAAAGACCAGAAAACGTGGATTTTTAAAAAATTGTTAAACCCTCCCTAAAGACCAGAAAACGTGGATTTTTAAAAAATTGTTAAACCCTCCCTAAAGACCAGAAAACGTGGATTTTTAAAAAAATGTTAAACCCTCCCTAAAGACCAGAAAACGTGGATTTTTAAAGAATTTCCTGAAGAACAGAAAATCTGACTTTTTCGGGATTTTCTTATAAGTTTACAAATTTTTCGGGGCCTTCGTGAATTTTTATAGAATTTTTACAGTCACATTATGGTCTTAAATCTTGGAAGGTTTTAAAGTCTAATAAAACTCCAGAAACGTGGACTTTTAAAGAGAAAACTTTTTTTAGGAATTTTAAAGTCTCCCTAACGCCAACATGTGTATTCTTTTTTAACGATTTGTTGGGTCTCCTTAAAGACATCCTAAGTGGATTTTTTTTTATTTTTAGAGTCTAAAGGCTTTGATGTTATTGAACATTTTTAGGGTATTCTAAATTCTTTACAAAAAAAAAATTAGAGCCTCTCAAAAGCCAGATAACATTTCAATGAATTTTTAGATTCTCCCCAACGCCCCTAAAACGTAATTTGTTTACAGTTTCCTTGAAGGCTCGAAAATTTTGATTTTTTATTTGAGTTGCTACGATTCACTGAATAGAAGTTCTAAATCATTTTAAAAGTTAAAATTTTTACCAATATGATACATAGCCTTTGAAGCTGTATATCTGAGGGTACTTACACTCTAACAGCAGATATATTGTGTACCATAACCCTTTGCGTCTCGCCCTCTCTGTAGACGTTATTGTAATAACCTTCAACAACATTGTAGACCAAATGATCGGTGGTATATACCCCATCTCCTGATAATAGACAGTTGCTGGCTAAAAATACACAAATTAATAATTAAGTTATATTTCGAATATATAAATTTAAAGTATTTTACCTGATAACACAATTTTAGCTGAAACAATAACGCCGCTGCAAATCGGCAGATAGAGCGTTGTATGCGAACGCCGAAACAACGTCACATCCCAGGGCTTAATTGGATTGCGTTTCTCTTCCTCACTCAAGACACCACAACGTGGAATACACCTAAACTTCGGACGATTCCAGACACCATCAAAGTTGCAATACATGGTCATGCTGTCGATGAGATTGAGACGTTTTCGCATATAACCAGGCGAACAGAAAATCTTGGCCTCCGTACCAATTGGGGCGTTATGATAACAACTAACCGGAGTGTTATTGTACGAACATGACGCAACTGTGGAAATTCCACTCACCACCGAATTGGGAGTGCAAAAACGGGCGGGACCAGCAAATGAGGGTCTCATTGTCGAGGTGGGTAGGCGCGAGGTTTGAGTTGGTGTTGATGGCACAAAGAACGGTCTAGATGTTGTTGACGAGGTTTGAGTTGGTCTTGATGGCACAAAGACAGGTCTAGATGGTGTTGGTGAGGTATGAGTTGGTGTTGATGGCACAAAGAAAGGTCTAGATGGTGTTGGCGGTGTCCCCCTGCTAGTGACTCCTGACTCCTGAATTGGCGGAGCTTGAGTATATATTGGAATCCTGGACGTAACATAGTCTGGTCTTCTGGTACCTGGCATAGTTATTTTAGTTCCATTTTGGGATTCTGTTGCATTCAACGCCGATACTCCGCAATGACTGGGTATTTCATCCGAGCCATCTAAACAATCTTTAATTCCATTGCATCTTGCAATACCTGGCACACAAGCACCATAACCACAACGGAACGTATAATCGGGACAATCGAAAATACTACATATTTCCATCGTTTCGTCACTGCCATCTTTGCAGTCGGCTATGCCATCACACATCGTATCTCGGGAAATACATTCTCCCGATTTACATTGCATGTGCGAGAATAACCTGGAAGGAGATTGAAACTTTTTGATATTGAAAGGTTAAAATACTTGAATTTTTGCAGAATATTTGGAGTTTCCCCAAAGCCCAGAGAATGTGGATTAGCAATGGAATTTCTAGAGACTCCCCAAAGGCCAGAAAACGTGGATTTTTTAAAGAATTTTTAGAGACCCCTAAAGGCCAGAAAACGTGGATTTTTTAAAGAATTTTTAGAGACCCCTAAAGGCCAGAATACGTGAATTTTTTGGAATTTTTGGAGACCCCTAAAGGCCAGACAACGTGGATTTTTTAAAGAATTTTTAAGGACCCCTAAAAATCAGAAAACGTAGATTTTTTAAAGAAATTTTTGTCTCCGTCTAAAGCCCAGAAAACGTGGATTAATTTAAAGAATTTTTAAAAACCCCTAAAGGCCAAAAACGTGGAATATTTTAAAGAATTTTTAGAGACCCCTAAAGGTCAGAAAACGTAGATTTTTTAAAGAATTTTTAGAGACCTCTAAAGGCCAGAAAACGTGGATTTTTTAAAGAATTTTTAGAGACCCCTAAAGGCCAGAAAACGTGGATTTTTTAAAAGAATTTTTAGAGACCCCTAAAGGCCACAAAATGTGGATTTTTTGGAGACTCCTAAAGGCCAGACAACGTGGGTTTTTTAAAGAATTTTTAGAAACCCTTGAAGGCCAGACAACGTGGATTTTTTTACGAATTTTTGGAGACCCTTGAAGGCCAGAAAACGTGGATTTTTTTCAACATTTTTAGAGATCCTTAAAGCCCAGAAAACGTGGATTTTTTAAAGAATTTTTAGAGACCCCTAAAGGCCAGAAATCATGAATTGTTTAAAGAATTTTTAGAGACCCCTAAAGGCCAGAAAACGTGGATTTTGTAAAGAATTTTTAGAAACCCCATAAAGGCCCGAAAGCGTGGATTTTTAAAAGAATTTTTAGAAACCCCATAAAGTCTAGACAACGTGGATTTTTTGGAATTTTTGGAGACCCCTAAAGGCCAGACAACGTGGATTTTTTAAAGAATTTTTAAGGACCCCTAAAGATCAGAAAACGTAGATTTTTTAAAGAAATTTTTGTCTCCATCTAAAGCCCAGAAAACGTGGATTAAAAAACCCCCCGTGGAATTTTTAAAAACCCCTAAAGGCCAAAAACGTGGAATATTTTAATGAATTGTTAAAGACCCCTAAAGGCCAGAAAACGTAGATTTTTTAAAGAATTTTTAGAGACCTCTAAAGGCCAGAAAACGTGGATTTTTTAAAGAATTTTTAGAGACCTCTAAAGGCCAGAAAACGTGGATTTTTTAAAAGAATTTTTAGAGACCCCTAAAGGCCAGAAAACGTGGATTTTTTAAAGAATTTTTAGAGACCCCTAGAGGCCGGAAAACGTGGATTTTTTAAAGAATTTTTAGAGACCCTTGAAGACCAGGCAACGTAAATTTTTTTAAGAAATTTTAGAGACCCTTGAAGGCCAGAAAACGTGGATTTTTTAAAGAAGTTATAGAGCTTCCATTAAGGCCAGAAAACGTGGATTTTTAAGAGCGAAAATCTTGGATTTTTTTAAATAATTTTTAGAGACCCCTAAAGCCTAAAAAACTTAGATTTTTTTAAATAATTTTTAGAGACCCCTAAAGCCTAAAAAACGTGAATTATTTGAAGAATTTTTAGAGTCTATCTTTAGCCTAGAAAACATGAATTAAAGCCCAGAAAAAATAGAGTTTATCTAAAGCCCAAGAAACGTGGATTTTGGGGTGTCTCTACACATTTGGGAGCCGTTTGAAATTAAAAAAAAAAAATAATAAAAATACAAAATTGAAAAATATCTATAGTCTCAAACTTACCAACAACTTCCTCTTAAATCTTGGAATAAATCTGACGAACTATCGCACAGATAGCGTATTTCATCGGAGCCGTCAATACAATTTCGCACACCATTGCAACGATCATTACCCGATATACAGCCACCGTAGGCACACTTGAAGGCATAATCCGGACAAGTACTGTCAAGACAATGTTCCATTGTCTCGTCGGACTTATCCTCACAATGTATCACACCATCGCACAGCTCTTCAATGTGGATACACTGGCCATTGTTGCATTGCCAGCTGTACAGGGAATTTATCGAACATTCCGCTACAGAATCATTCGATGAGGACTGATTTGAGTAATCCAAATCGGAAGATGAGTCAACTAAATAGAGAGGGAGAAAGAAGAAAGTATTAGATGATTACAATTAATAAAAAAAATTATTGCAGAATGTTTAATTGAAAATAGCAGCATTTTATTAGAATTCCTAAAAAGTTTTAATGAGTGATTCTGTTACATCCTTCATTTAGATTGAAAAGTGTTCATAACGATTTTCAAAACTTTAGAAAATTCCAAATTAGACACTCATTTATGAGTGTACACTAATAGTTTATCATTTTCCCGGAATTCCTCTAAGAATCATAAGTGCAAATATGTTATCGAACGATAAACGATAATGTGACGTCAATGGTTTGAATTGGAGCTTCTGTGAATTGTTTATCGCCACAGGTGTTTTTTGGATGATTAAAAATAAATATTTGCAGAAATGGTGCTATGAATAAGTGCATTTTTCCGTGTAAAATTCAAACACTACGCACAATAGAAAAAATTAATACATTAAAATTATTATTATTAAAGAGGAACAAAAAAAAAATCTAAAAAAAATGCTGCAAAAATATTTTAAAAAGTCATTAAAAAATATGTATGTCCATATTTATGCCATATCCGACAAAAAGATGGAGTTTAAAAAACAAATCGAGTAGGTCCTAAAGCATTTCAGTATGGAGTGCCATCTTTTATAACCCACAAAAACTCTGGCTGTTTTTTGACGTTTTTGTTTTATTTAAAAATGGTGAAGATATTCATCCAATTTTGCGGTGATTGTTCTTTGATTCAATTTTCTGCTTGGTTTGTTTTTAGTCATTGTTGTTCTTTTTAAAGAGGGTTATTCTAGGGGTTTTGTTAAATTATTAGTGGGAGATAGAAGCTATGAAAACATTATTCAGTCTCTTTAAAAACCAGTGGTAAAGTTACTAGCCTCACCTCCAATTTTGAATGATGATACAACTTAAGAGACGATTTAGCCCTGTCCGTCCGCTTATCCGTCCGTACGTCTGTTATAATCACACTAGAGTCAAAACGAATTAAGAAAAAATTTGCGCAGATCAGTCTTTTGTCTGCAGGCACATTAAGTTCGAAGATGACCTATATCGGTCCCACACATCGGTACTTCCGATATTCGGTATTTAATTTATTGAAGCCAAATTTTTCAATGGAAATGTCCGAAACTCTGAGATAAAAAAAACTGCAACAACGTCAAATGCCATAATTTTTACATTTTTTTTTTAATTTTATTGAATGGACGCAAAACATGTCGGAAATGGCATCAAATTTTAGAATAAGTTTAGATTTTTTAGAATTGGTCACCGTTTGCACGAATTATGGCCTTCAAACGGCCAATGAAACCGTCACACGCTGCCCGATTGTTGTTTTGCGATATTTTGGCCCATTCCCGTCGAAGCGCTTGCTTGAGGTGATCGACACTTTGGAATTTTTTAGTGCCAACTTTGCTTTCCAAAATACTTCAAACACAATAATTCAACGGATTGGTATCCGGAGTTTTTAGTGGCCATTGTGCGCTGGAAATGAGGAACCTCATTTTGTAACCATTCTTGGGTGGCGCGTGCTGAGTGCGATGGTGCTGAGTCCTATTGGAATGTCAAAGGTCTGGGGCCAAAATGTTTGGGGGCTTTAATACACCCTTCAGAATATTTTCGCGATAATATTCGGCATTTATTCCGATGCCACGGTCGATTAATACGAGCGGAGAGTGACCGAAAAAATATTCTGGAGGATGTATTAAAGCCTTGGTCACGCAAACACTTTGGCCGCAGACCTTGGACATTCCAACAGGACTCAGCACCATCGCACTTAGCTAGCGCCACCTAAGAATGGTCACAAAATGAGGTTCCTTGCTCCATTTCCAGCGCACAATAGCCACCATTCCATTCCCTAGAAATTCAGGTCAACCAGACAGACGAATACTGTCAAATCAACTTCAAATATCCTGAAATGGATTTCGTCCATAAGTATGAAAAAGTATCCCACATGCTACATTGTGAACCACTCTACGTCGGGATTTTCGCAGCGTAAAATAATCTCATATTTAAAAAAATGCGAATGTAACAAAAATAATATTATTTTGATTCCAATGTTATGTTTTGCTCTGATACTGACTGGGGATTTCCAAGCCGTTGTATTTCTTGCACTCCAAAAATACCACCATTTGTGTGAAATACAAGAACGTATGTCTTATCAGCTGCGGTCCCCAAACAAACATATTGCTCATTTAATCAAACAGGGTCACATCTCAAAAAATTCAGTTATGAGAAATTCGCATTTTTGCTATGGGTTGAGATTTGACTTAACGAATTAAAAAAAAAATATCGCACAAAAAGTTATTTTTATTTTAAAATTTGCAAATAGGTCACCAGATAAAAGTGCCAAATTTCGTTGCAAGATCAAGCATGGCTTGAAGTATTTAAGTGCTGCATAAACGCAATATACTGTTGATTTTTTTTTTCAAATTCCAACTAAAAAAGCCTGTAACTCCTCAAGTTTAACAGATAGCAACATGAACAATTGAGAATAAAATAGTACAAGATTCGTAGAAAAAATAGAAATTGAAAAAGAAAACATGTAAGAAAGCAGCTAAGTTCGGCCGGGCCGAACTGTTTATACCCTCCACCATTTGGAAGAAACTTGAAAGTTTAAAAAAATCCGTCGGAAAATACCGATCATATGAAAACCGTTTCATGGGAGCTATACAAAGGCGTGGTCCTGCATAATTAATTTGTGTCATAGGCTGTTGTAACTGTTCCGAACAATATATACGACATTTGAAACAATTCCGGTGTATAACATCGCAAAAATCATCAAAATAGCGAATATCGGAAGGTGCCGTTATATGGGGGAAGGTGTCGTTATATCGTGGACCCACACAGACAAATCTCTTTCAGGGGGTAATGTACTCAGAAGGACCTTTCCTGGATTTTAAGACAATTCCATTGAAAATTCACTTCCAGGGGATAAAGTACTCACAAGAAACTTCTTATGAGAATTTTCAGACAATTCAATTGAAAAATGTGGCTAAAATTATCAAAATACCGAATTTGGGGGGGTTTATACGATATCGTGGACCTATATAGACAATTCTCTTCCAGAGGCTGAAGTACTGACAAAGAACTACTTGTGTTGATTTTCAGACAATTTCATTGAAAAATGTGGCTAAAATCATCAAAATACCGAATATCGAAAGGTGCCGTTATATGGGGGATATAGGATATTGTGGACCGATATGGCCCATCTTCGAACTTGACCTGCCTGCAGACATAAGACTGATCTGTGCAAAATTTTAGCTTCCAATCCAATTATGACAAACGTTGCCTATGCAGGTCCACGACTTCATATAGATCCCAATATATCGGCTATATTCGGTATTTTTAAGATTTTAACAGAATTTTTAGCGGATGTTATTTTTTTTTTTTTTTTTTTTTTTTTTTTTTTGAATTGAATTGCATTTTTCAAAAACATTTTGGGCACGAATCAATAATATGCCAAGTTCAAAGAAATCTGATACTAAATTCACATTTTAGGAGAGAGCGAGGAGTAGAGCTGCTGTGGACCAGCTGGGATCGCCCATGACCTATGTTTGATAAAAATGGTGAAATGAAAATACATGTATGATCTTTATTTTTGAAAAATTTTAACGTTTATGAGGGAGGTAGTGGAGGGAGGTAAAGAAAATCGGACATTTGATCCGACCGCGTAATCGGCTGATAAGTTTGGGGAAATCCCTGGCCCGACCGAAGAGGCCCAAGAAAACGGGTAAGAAGCTGCAATCTTAGGTCAAAACAGCCAGAAAACATTATAAGGACGAAATGCACTACAAATTGATCGATACCAATAAAGGTTCGGGCAATTTACCCAAAGACCACCTAGAAACCATAGAGAAAATTGTCAACAACAAAATTTTGGATTACATAATGGAAGACGGTGATCCAATTTCCATCATGAGTGGCGGCATAAAGAACGATAAAATGTTAATTAAGCTTGCTGCACATGCAAACCATGCCACCCTAAAGAAGATTATCGGTAAGAAAAGACCTTCATGGGAAAACGGCAGCCTACAGCTGCCGATAAGGAAGAGCGAAATTCCTCGCCTAACTAAAATGACGGTATACGCCTGAGGATTTGGCAGCAAGTTCGAGACGGAACGAAGTCTTTGGACGACAAAACAAGACTTTGGACGTGAGGAGATGGGAAATGTTCACACAGGGAGGAGAAGGAAGATTGCAATATGGTAAATTGCCGTCTTCTTTCAACAACTACTTAGCCTAAAGCGCACAACAAGCCTATACTGGGTTACGTGTATGTCCTATAAGACATATGGCAATTGTTTCGGCCATCTTGTCAACCCAACCTAAGGACAGATGTGGAGTACGGACATGGCTAGATCGATTTCAAATAATGCTGGTCAACCGTCCTGCCATCAACGAATTAGCTTTGCAAGGATTTCAACTTGCCGTCTCAGGCTGAAGCAGACTTTTTTCTCTGTTGTTTATAAGCAACTTAAAACTTCTAGAATATTCCAGAATATTTTCGCGATAATAATCGGCATTTATTCTGATGCCACGGTCGATTAACAGGAGCGGAGAGCCACCATCGGCTTTTATGGCGGCCCACGACGGCCCACAACGAATGTTTTCTCATCGGAGAAAACCAAATTCGGTAGTTCACCACTTTCGCCACTTTAGCTCTTTTAAGTCTATTTTCCTTCTGTTGCGGAGTACGTTCGTGCACTTTTGGGAATTTCACTGGCTTTACCCCGAGCTCATTTTTCAATATTTGGCGAATAGAATATTGCGATATGTTCAGCTCACGAGCAATTTTTCAGCCACTGCAACGCGGGATTCGATCAAGTCGTTCTTTACTTTTCGAACCATTTCTGCTGATGTTGCTGTTTTCTTCCGTTCACTTTCTAGACGTCGGGCTACGCTACCAGCATCACGGTAACGAGCGATGGCACGAGACACAGAAGATTTATTCACATTTAAATGTTGGAGTGCTCTAACGATAGCCACTTGTGGGTTTCCAGCCAAATATAAAGAAATCACACTATCACGCTTGAATTCCATCACGAATAACTTTTTTTCTGGAAAATTCCCACCAAAATGTACGCTTGTCAACAATATAATGAGCTGTCACTGGAATAATTTTAACAGCTGTCGGACGAGTGGCTTTGAAATGACACCAGTCTGAAGTTGCTTTCAGTTTTTTCATCTCACCCTGTATTTACATTCACTACAAACTAAGTATCATCTCGGTTAAACCCATCCAATTAACATCGTGCAAGTCTTACGTTATGCCCAGCAACGTAATACGAATTAGTGAGGGTAATTCGGATTTCTTGCTTATCATACAAGCGTCTTGTTGTCGGTTTTGTTATTTTTTGTTTAATTGTTTCAGAATAGGTAATACGTCAATTTTGTGTTTCTGATAACAAATGATTTACGTTGAGAATGACATTAAATATTTTCTCGTCTAAAGAAATGAAAAATTATAGAAGTTCAGCGATTAAAAGAACAATAAATATGGAACTTAGATCCTTGTACTCCCATAAACCCGAAAAGATTACGAAGTTAACGGCTTTTCCATACCTCTTTCTGATAAAAAAAAAAAAAAAAACATTCCCAAGTGTCCAAGTTATTGACCACTTCCCTCAATTTTAATGGGGTTTCAGTAGGAATTGCGATTTTTATAGCCTCCACAATACATAGTATGAAGGGTATATTAAGTTCGTCATTCCGTTTGTAATTCATCGAAATATATCGGTCCATGATATCGTATAGCCCCCATATAACGTTACCCCCCCCCCCCCCCCTAAATTGTCCTTCAGAGTACTTGGATATTCATTATTATTCATCGGAGTTGTTTAAAATTTCGTATTTAGAATTGGTAATGGGAACTACATAATTTGATGAGAAATATTTTTATCTTTCACGCCATCCTTCAAAAAGTCTGCTTTGCAGGGGAACTTTTTATAAACTCGCATTGACAACGGCTTTAAACCTAAATGTGTTTTTATACCCTCCACCTGGGAAAGAAGGGTATATTAACTTTGTCATTTCGATTGTAAAATCCCTAAATATTCGTCGAAGACCCCATAATCGTTTCAATGATGTCCGTCTGTCTGCCCGTCCGTCTGTCTGCCCGTCCGTCTGTCTGCCCGTCCGTCTGTCTGTTGAAATCACGATTCACCTCACATTTTTGACGTATTTTACCTAGGATGGTTGGTATTGAAAATGAAATATATCGCTCCACGATAGTCCTCATATAACGAACGGTACCTTTCGATATTCAGTATTTTGTTGTTTGCCACATTGTATTTCTAATTCCACATTTTGGTATAGCCCCCATACAAGGGTTCTTACCGATATACGATATTTTGAAGATTTTTTCCAAATTTTTTCACGGATTTATGTAAAAATTAGTATTTGTAGGATATAATGGGTTCTAGCTCCGGTGACGAAACATTGTGTATATAGGCCCACGTTTTGGTATAGCCATATAGCGGTACCTCCCGATATTCGGTATTTTGATGATTTTTGTCACATTTATTCACGAATTTGTCCAAAAATTGATTATTTGTGGGTCATAATGGATTCTAGCTTCGGTGGCGATACATTGAATGTATAGGTCCACGTTTTTGTATAGCCCCATATTACGGTACCTAACGATATTCGGTGACTTGATGATTTTTGCCACATTTTTTAACGGATTTGTCCGGAAATTGGTATTTGTAGTTCTTAATGGGATCTAGCTCGTGTGGCGGGTTCAAGCTCGTGTAGCGAAACATTGCATGCATAGATCCACGTTTTGGTTACAGTACCTGCCGATATTCGATATTTTGATAAAAAAAATGGTATTTGCAGTTCATAATGGGTTCTAGCCCGGTGACAGAATATTAAGTATTTAGTTCCACGTTTTCCTATAGCGCACATATAACGATACCCACAGATATTCCATATTTTGATAATCCTACTCGCATTTACCCACGAATTTTTTTCAAATTTGGTATTTAAAAAGATTCGATATATTACAATCATTGAAGTATAAAATTGTCTATAGATGTTATCGTTTTGGCATGGCTCCATATAACGGCCTCACTTTGTGGTGGAGGGTATTAAAAGTTCGGTCCGGCCGAACTTAATGTTTGTTTACTTGTTCTTCATTATGAACTGCTGGCGTTTAAGTAAGATTGAGACTTTTGACGTCTTTTAAGACCTATAGTAGAAATTTATGACTATTAATTTTGTAGAATAGACTTGCTACGATCCCATGAAAAAGCAGTTCTTAATCATAAGAACCAAACAAAAGGACCAAAACGATCCCTTTGTTGGCTCACTTGAAAGTTAACATTTTCGAATAGTATAATCTCTGTGTTTGTATGTGCAATATTGCAGAAGTGCTATATACCTACAATAAATAGATTCCAAAGAATTTTAATTCAAAAATTTCAAGCAAATAAGGGAGAGGTTAATTTATAAAACAATAAATATATAACCAGCCTGTAAACGTTCAGATCAATAACCTCATTCTAAAATTGGGAGACTTGACCCCCCTCTATACTATATTTCTTATTTGGCGATGTAAACATTCAAAACGCCAATACACGCGTCTTCTATTTTTAGCTCTACTTTCACGATCTGCTGGTTTTTCCCTGTAATTATTTTATGCGTTGGACAGTGTTATCGACGATCTGTCACTTCAAGTCATTCTTTAGGGATGTTGCGATCTTATTGAAACTGGAAAGTTATTTTTTTTTTGTTCCATCTAGATTGCAGGTATGTATAACAGGTTCGGCCGGCTCGAAACGAACACATTTATCTTACTATTCGGTCGTACCAAAACAAACAAAACACCAAGAAAAGTAACCTTGTTGTCATTTTGAACTGAATACTTACAAATTTCAGCATTGACCATCAGTTGGCTGGCCAGCAGAAACAATTGTACATGAATGCAATAGAATTTATTCATTTCTTTTTATTTTTCGGACCGATAATTTTTGTATTGATAGATTCCACAATGATGTGCACAAAATAATTATAGGTTTTTAATTTATCTTTTTTTTGCAAAAAACAAGACACAATTAATTAAATATTACGCTGTTTTCGATTCGATTCGCTTTGTTTTGATTTCTTTTTGTTTGGTACTCATTACGCGCTAACCGGTATGATGGAACTTGTACTTGCCGCCAGTGGCAACCGCATCGAGTGTAAAGTACTACTGAATGAATGGAATTCTTAACACACCGCTTTATGGAGGGAAAACATGTTTCTTTCGTCTCAGAGAATGTTTTTGAGAGACCCTCAGTTTGTTTAGTCTCTCGTAGAGGCAAGAGCTGCCGTTTACTGGAAGTTTTCTCTATTCTCTACTGCTGCAATACGCACAAAGCAAGCTTTCTTCATGTTGTTGGGGATTTTTGTTGAAATGGGGAATATTTCGTTGACCCATCGCAAGCTGGAGGAACTGGAAATTCTAAAATATTTTCAATTATAATCAGTATAGTAGGTATTCTGAGAGATATATATTGCCCGATCACTTGTTTATTTTTAGCGTGCTTGGGGACGTACCTTAAAAATTGGACCTGTACAAGGTGACATGAAAAAATTGCAACTATCTTGAAACTGTTGTCAGTTCTAAGCCACTCGTCCGGTAGCTGTTAAAATTATTCCCGTGACAGCTCATTATATTGTTTATACGCGTACAAAAGCATTTTGGTGAGAATTTTCCAGAAAAAAAGTTATTCATGATGGAATTCACGCGTGATAGTGTGATTCTTTATATTTGGCGGGAAAGTCACAAGTGGCTATCGTTAGAGCACTTAAATGTGAATAAATCTTTTGTGTCTTGCACCATCGCTTGTTACCGTGATACTGGTAGCGTAGCCCGATGTCGAGGAAGTGGACGGAAGAAAACAGCAACATCAGCAGAAATGGTTCGAAAAGTAAAGAAGCGACTTGATCGAAACCCGCGTAGCTGTGACCGAAAAATGGCTCGAGAGCCGCAATATTCCACTCGGCAAATATTAAAAAATTAGATCGGGGTAAACCCATTGAAATTTCAATGCAAGAACTTTACCGCAACAGAAAGAAAATAAACTCAAAAGAGCTAAAGAGTTTCATCGCTTGGCCGAATTTGGTTTTCTCCGATGAGAAAACATTCGTTGTCCAACAGTTTGTAAACAAACAAAACGATCGTGTTTACTTGCCAAAGAGGTCAGCTGAAAATGTGCAGCTTCGGTTGGCCACCAGAACTCAAGCGCCGGCCATGGTAATGGCATGGACCGCCATAACAGCCGATGGTCGCTCTCCGCTCGTATTAATCGAACGTGGCATTAGAATAAATGCCGAATATTATCGCGAAAATATTCTTGTGGGTGTATTAAACCCTTGGTCACGCAAACATTTTGGCCGCAGACCTTGGACATTCCAACAGGACTCAGAACACGCCACCCAACTGCTTGAACAAAGACCCTTTTCGCACGTTCCCTTTCCATCAAGGTACTTTACTCAGGCTCTTTATATGAAAAACTGATGAGATGCGACGCTCAGTTTTATGTTTGCTCTCAGATTTTCATCTCTTCTTCTAATTTGCAGTTCTCTCGGTATTCACTTTGTCGGAAACTAATTACCAAAGATCTTAGTGGATAAGTACGACTCTCTGACAGTCACACTCTTTACCACAGGTAATACCGACCACGAATTACCCCAAGATTCTAGGGGTCTCATTCGACAGCATGTTCATGTCATCCGCGCAAGCCACAGCTATCTGTAACAAGATGAAAAATAGGAAGAAGTTCCTTAAGGCGCTAGCCTGCAGCACTTGGAGTGGGGACAAGGAAACCTTGTTGACCTCTTATAATGCGATAGGTTGGTCTGTGGTATACTAGTGCTACGCAGTGGAAGCACATCCAGACCTGCCAGAATTCTGCCCTGAGAACTGCGACAGAGTGTCTCCTCATGACACCAGTGGACGATCTATAATGCGAAAGTCCTTCCCTTACGTCAATATAATCATATGCTTTCGTTGCAGTATCTGGTGGATGCAACCCCACCCAGGCGTGTCATGAAAGACATACATGATCTAAAGAGGTAGGTCCAACGCTATAAGAGAGAACTTCTCAATCAAAAAGCCTATCAGGCAGGTCTTATTGGCATTCATACCGATGCAGTCGGAGATGCCATCAGAAATTACAGGATGAATGTCATCATCGGAGTCCACCACCATATATTGCAGTGTCGTTTTGGCGTAATTTCGTTCAGGATGGTGCAGTCGTCTCAATTCGTATTGGACACAAATTGACAAAGATGTGCGTGACGTCTGCCTGGCGTGTGACACAGGCCGCACAATACGCTACACCACTTTAATTGCACCGCCAAACCTACCCAACTCACTCCAGAAGATCTATGGTTACAGCCCATTGAGGTTCAAGCTTGAACCAGATTAGCAGAATCCAAACATCTACATGTACTACTGATACAACAACAACAACTAAACTGACACCTAGTTTACGTCCTCGGGCACCTTAACGATGAATCACACAGTTTGTTATTAAATCTTCCACCTTGAAAAGGAGGGTACATTAATTTGGTCATTCCGTTTGTAACATCCCTAAATATTCGTCGTAGATCCCATAAAGTAAAGGGTGTTTTTTTAGGCCCATAGAACTTGAAATTGTAAAAAATAACACAAAAAATTAAATTTTTATCAATTTTTTTTTTATTCGAAAGATCAATACGTGACATTAACATTTGAAAATGATTTCGGACATATGGGCACCGCGGCTATTCTTGACGAAGTGCATTCTGGACGTCCAATTTTTGTCCACTTTTTCGAGCACTGCTGGTCGTATATCACGAATAACACGAACAATGCTGGCCTCCAAGGCGTCAATTGTTGCTGGTTTATCAGCATAAGCCAGGTGTCAAATCGCACGACATTGGAAGTCAATTGACAGGTCCACTTCTCGAAATCAAATTATCGCCAAATTTTGATTTCAATAAGTCGATGGTTGCGTTCGCCGTATGGCACGTAGCGCCATCCAGTTGATACCACATCTCCTCCGGATCAATGTCATCCATATTTTTAAACAAAAAATCATTGATCATGTTGCGGTAACGATCTCCATTGACCGTAACGCGAGCACCGGCCTCATTTTTGAAGAAATAAGGTCCGATAATGCCACCAGCGTGAAAATCGCACCATGTGCATTTTTCTGGATGTAATGGGGTCCGTAGGGTCTCTTGTGGATTGGTCCCACTCCATATGCGGCAATTTTGCTTATTAACAAACCCGTCAAGCCAAAAATGCGCCTCATCCCTGAACACAATTTTGAGATAAAACAACGGGTCATTTACCAACTGCACTAGAGCCTGAGTAAATTTTGATAATTTCGTAGCGTTGTTCAAGCGTGAGTCTACTCATGATGATTTGTCAGAGTATACTGAAACAAATAAAAAAAAAGTTTCATCAAAATTAAATTTTTTGTGTTAGGATGGTTGGTATTGAAAATCGGTCCATGTTTTGGTATAGCACTCATATAACGGTACCTCCCGATATTCGGTATTTTAATGATTTTTGTCATATTTTTCACGGATTTGTTCAAAAATTGGTATTTGTAGTTCGCAATGGGTTCTAGCTCCGGTGGCGCATAGTAAAGAGTGATTTGTTAAGAGCTTGATAACTTTTAAAAAAAAAAACGCATAAAATTTGCAAAATCTCATCGGTTCTTTATTTGAAACGTTAGATTGGTCCATGACATTTACTTTTTGAAGATAATTTCATTTAAATGTTGACCGCGGCTGCGTCTTAGGTGGTCCATTCGGAAAGTCCAATTTTGGGCAACTTTTTCGAGCATTTCGGCTGGAATAGCCCGAATTTCTTCGGAAATGTTGTCTTCCAAAGCTGGAATAGTTGCTGGCTTATTTCTGTAGACTTTAGACTTGACGTAGCCCCACAAAAAATAGTCTAAAGGCGTCAAATCGCATGATCTTGGTGGCCAACTTACCGGTCCATTTCTTGAGATGAATTGTTCTCCGAAGTTCTCCCTCAAAATGGCCATAGAATCGCGAGCTGTGTGGCATGTAGCGCCATCTTGTTGAAACCACATGTCAACCAAGTTCAGTTCTTCCATTTTTGGCAACAAAAAGTTTGTTAGCATCGAACGATAGCGATCGCCATTCACCGTAACGTTGCGTCCAACAGCATCTTTGAAAAAATACGGTCCAATGATTCCACCAGCGTACAAACCACACCAAACAGTGCATTTTTCGGGATGCAGTTCTTGAACGGCTTCTGGTTGCTCTTCACTCCAAATGCGGCAATTTTGCTTATTTACGTAGCCATTCAACCAGAAATGAGCCTCATCGCTGAACAAAATTTGTCGATAAAAAAGCGGATTTTCTGCCAACTTTTCTAGGGCCCATTCACTGAAAATTCGACGTTGTGGCAGATGAGAAGTCTATTCATGATGAAATATCAAAGCATACTGAGCATCTTTCTCTTTGACACCATGTCTGAAATCCCACGTGATCTGTCAAATACTAATGCATGAAAATCCTAACCTCAAAAAAAATCACCCTTTACATATAGGTCCACGTTCTGGTATTGCCCCCATATAACGGTACCTCCCCATATTCAGTACTTTAATGATTTGTGCCACATTTTTCCAAGTTGTAATCACGCTAGAGTAAAGATAGAAAGATAAAATTTTGCACAGATTAGTCTTTTGTCTGTAGGCAGATCAAGTTCGAAGATGGGCTATATCGGTCCTCGATATCGTATAGCCCCCATATAGCCATACCCTCCTATATTCTGCATTTTGATGATTGTAGTCAAATTTTTCAATTAAATTGTCTGACAGTCAACAAAAGAAGTTCCTTCTAAGTACTTTACCCCCTGGAAGAGTATTGTCTATATAGGTCCACGATATCGTATATCCATATAACGGTATCTCCCTATATTCGGTTTTTTGATGATTTCAGCTACATTTTTCAATGAAATTGTCTGAAAATCTACACAAGAAGTTCTTTCTAAGTACTTTACCCCCTGGAGGAGAATTATCTACACAGGTTCACAATATCGTATAGCCCCCATACAAAAGTACCCCCCTCCCCCTATATTTGGTATTTTGATGATTTTAGGGTTTTGGGAAATGGGATTTAGGGAAAGGGTACTACAGCCCGTGACAAAAAAAATCGCGTATGAAAGCCCACGACTTCGCATAGGCCTCATACGTCGGTACCTCCCTATATTCGGTATTTTGAT